TGGGTGAAAGAGGTGATGAAGATTAAGGAGTATACTTATACTGAGGAGCACTGAGTAATGTACAGAATTGTTGAATCGCTATATTGTACACCTAAAACTAATAGAACACTATGTTAACTGCACTGAAATCAAAATTAAAAATTTAATTAAAAAAAAGACAAAAAAATTATACGGCCTTGCTTTGCCGCCTCTGAGCCTTTTTTTTATGCTGTTCCCCATGCCCACCCTGTAATGGCCTCCTCCCCAGTGTCCTCATGCCCAATCCCACCCTCGCACACTAAAGGCCATCTCTGCTTTCAAGCCTTCCTTCCCTCTCCTATCCCCACATAAAAGTCCTCTCTTTTCCTCTGAGCACTTGTCTGGACCCCACACAGGGCCCTTTTCGTAGCCTATTTTAAAGTGCAGATATTTATGTCTATCTGAAATCCCCTACAAGACTGTGAGCTCAAAGAGGACAAATTCCCTCCCTCCCTATCACCTCCCCCCGGGGCCCCACATACAGAAGGTGTTCAGCATGTATCTGTTGATTCACTAGTTAGATGGATGGATTGATAAGTGATCAATTGATAAATAGATGGAAAGATGGAAAATGGATGAAGGATAGAAGGACAGTGGGGAGAAATGCTGTGAATTCAGATGAATGACAGGGTCACTGACAGGTGACTGAATGTGTGGATGGAGGGACAGGAAGATGGGTCACTGAGTGGCTGGGAAGGTAGATAAATGGCTGATAGATGGGCAGGGGGGTGGAGAGGTGGAAAGTAGGTAGGACAGACCTGCTGATCTATTTATTCTCATTTTGTAACTAAGAAATCCAAAGCTTAGAAAGGAAACGCCTCCCCAAAGCCGCTCAGTAGTAAGGCAGAGCAGGCTGGATCAAAGGCAGGCCTGCTGTCACTCTGCCTGCCTTTCAGGCAAGTCCAAACGGGCTCTGCGGCCCACTCACCTCTTTCACAGAAATGCACGTGGCCCAGATGAGCACGAACATTCTTCCCAAGAGCTGTAGCCACCCCATCTTGTGTGTCAGGGCCAAGGGGTGTGGGAGGGCCTGGGAGGAAGGGAAGGAATGGATGGGTGCAGAATGGGGAATGAGGAAGGCAGGGGTCATGCCAACTCTGGAGGGACCATGCACATACACATGCCAAACCCTCAAGTTGAGCCAGAGGCCAGCACGAAGCCTGATCTCTGTAGGGTGTGAGAGAAAGAACGGCAGCTCCCTACCCCCGCCCCACTCACAGTGGGAGCCCGGAACTCTACGGTGAGGACACAATCCAGTCCATGTTAACAGCCCCTCACACCTCATGGCATTCGTTCGTTTCAGGACCCATCCGTATCCCGATACTCACAGGACACTCACAGCTGAAACTCTGTGCCCTGTGTAATGAATGGGAAACTGAGCCCCAGAGTGATGGGAAAGCTTGTTCAAAGTGACCTCCCCCTCCTCCCATTTCCTGTGGCCCTCACAGCAGAAACACCCAATCAGCTCTAGATTGAGATGGAGCCTGGGCAGGGTCTGGGTCTCCCAGCCCTCCAGATCTCCCCACAATAGCTAAGCACTGGAGACATACTCAGTTTCCTAGAAACTGTGAAGGATGACACTTGGGGAATGCCATGCAAATGTCTTGGTCATTCTGGGCCTCAGTTTCCCCATCTGCACGTGGGACTGCTCCCAGGTCCTGAAGCTCTGACCATCACCCCATCCTCCCTCCAGGCGCACACGTACCTCCTCCTCCCGGGGGCGGTAGTAGGAAACGAGAGTCAAGGTGATGTTGTAGAAGAAATAAAAGCAGAAGGACAAGAAGAACATGTACTTGGCAAACTTCTTCCACTTCATATGCAGCAGCGTGTGCAGGGGCTCCAGGGTCAGCATCTCATGCCGGTTCTGGGGGTGGAACAACACTACCATTTTCAAAGGGCCTTCATTCCAGAGGGAGCTCTGAGTCAGCACCACCCCTGGCAGAAGGGCCAGTCATTGTGTCCCATGACTGGTTGGTCTGGGAATGTTGGGAAGGTAATTTCCGACTCTGTAGGCTCCTTCCCAGCGCCCCCAGGCAGCGGCCGAACCCCACAGGAGCCAGGCTTCCAGCAGGAGAACCTGCTGCTCGGTGGGGAGCGAGGGCTACAAGGGGGAAGGGCCATGACTGGGGTTATGGCCCCAACTTGGCCCCCTTCACTGTGCGACCTTAGGAAAATCCCTGACCCTCCCAGGGCCTCAGCTTCCTCATCCATAAAGTTGATAGCAATCAAACTGCCCTACCTGTCAGGCTGCCGTAAGGATTCCAGGGAGACCCCAGACAAAGCAGGCTCTGGGAAGCATGACTTTTGGTAACACATGGAGGATGAAGATCCAGCCTGCTGCCTCACTTCCCCCAAAAGCCAAAAACCTCTCACTGCTGATCCTCTCTCTTCCCCTCCAGCTTTACAGATCTCCCCCCTCTTGCCTACTCCAGGAAGTCCTCCCTGATTGCTCCAGCCATGCCTTCGCAGAGGGTAAGGGGGTTTTTGGAACCATTAGGGAAGAGGGGGAGAAACAGGATAGATAAGATCAACACCAGTCATCCCACCCTCGCACCCCGACTCTCACACTGCCCAGGCCAGGATTCTGGGCCCAGGAGACCCCCACCACAAAAGTTTACAACCCAAGGTCAGCTGGGAACAGGCAAATACAGCACCTGCCCTACCCCTCCCCTTTCTGTGTCAACTCTGCCTACTAAGGCAAAAGACTACAGACATGTCCAGCTAGTGGCATGGGTCTTCCCAGTGCCCCCTGAGCCCCCGGCCAGAGGCCAGCCTCCCACCCCTACTCTTCCCCAGCCCTCCCAGGAGACCCACATCAATGTTGGTGTTGTAGACGATGATTTCCAGCACTGAGTTGTCTGTTGTAGTGTCCACGTTGGTGAGGTCATAGAGGGAGGACGACACAGGCCCATACGCCCAGTCAGTAAACTTCCTGGACAGGCTCCGGAGTGGCTTCTCCTTGATCTCACGGCTGAGGATGTACTTCAAGATCTGGGGACAGGAAGAGAAACAGCTGTAGAGGAGGGCTGGGAAGATGCTCCCACCTGGATGGATTGAAGCCTGCCCGTGCGTCTGCCACCAAGACCCCTGGGCTCAGCTTTATCTGTGGAATGGGTATGAAACTTGCTGCTCAGTCTGCTTCCAGGGACTGTGAATACCAGGGACGAAAGGTGTGGAGGCCCTTTGCATGATGCAGAAAGCTGCACAATCAGCTCGTAAATCCTTGTACCAGTTGGGGACCCCATTTAGTGAAGAATCTGGGAATCGACAATCCTGAGAACTAATTTCTGTTTGACCTGGATGTGAGAAGATACTAGAAGTTTTTCTGGCTTCCCCATCCCTCAGTCAAGACCATGCCCATTGAGGCTCACTCGCCTACTGACTGTGGGCCAGACAAGGGGTGATACAAGAGTGCCAGCCTGGCAGAGAGGCCTCGGAAACCCACTCTCCAGGTAGTGATCCTCAAACCCCACTGCATGGTAGAGTCATGAGGAACACTCAACAATCCCTTACCACCAGCTAATTCGGTCCGAATCTCTGGAGGGGGGATGCAGAGATCTGTGTTTTGTAAAGCTCCATGGGCAGTTCCAAAGCGCAGGCAAAGTGGAGAGCCATTGCTCTCCAGCTCACTGCTTCCCAAGACAGGGGCCAGGGCTTCCTGAGGCACCAACCCAAGGCCCAGGAAGAGGGTCCTGCTGGGGAGAACAGCATCAGAGCCGTGATCTCACATATTCCCATGTCATCTCATATGGGAGCCTTGTCCCCACAGCCCAGACAGAGAGCTCCCAGGGACAGGCAGGTCTCCCCATCCTGAGCCCCCAGCCTTGAAAAGCCTCAAGGAACAGGGTGTGTCTTAAGCGTCTCTGCACCCTCCACTCCTAGCATGGCGGCCACCTTGGGCATCGTCCAGAAAAGTTTTCCAAAGAACACTGAACGAAGAAGGGAAGGGACCAGGAATGAGGGGGCCCCATCCCCAGGACTGGCCACAGGGGAGCACATTGTCCTCTAGAGAATCAAGGGGACATGGGGCCATGCTCCATGCGGACACAGCACTTGCCTCAGAGGCTGGCAGGGAGGGGGCCTCAGAGGAAGCTCCACTTGCAGCCCTAATCTGACTCTCCTCAAAGCCTCCCACAAACTGTGTCCCAGCTATGGGTAGGAGACAGTGGGGAGAGTGGGGATGCACACAATTCCTCCTCTGTCGAAGCCAATCTCCAACACCTCCTTCCCCCACAAGAGAATGAAAAGGTCCCTTGTGAGCTCCAGGCCTGACCACTGGGTCTAGACCCAAGGCCCTCGGGGCACCCACCTCCCTTGTCAGCTGCCCCGAGGCTGGCACAGCTGTGATTGTTCAACAGCCCCTGCACCCACCCAGTCCTCCCACAGCCTCCCGGGAGCCTCAGTCCCCTCCCAAGGATCAGACACCATGGAGGCTGAGGAGCAAGCTTCTCTGAGCCTTGCCCCCCACCAGAATCCTGACCTTGATCTCAGACCAGGTTGTGACTCCAGCCAGCCACAGAGATGGGAGCCCACCCCAGCCCAAGTCTTCACCAAGGCTAAGCCTTGAGTTCCTCAGCCACACCACCAGGGCACAAAGGGCCACAAGCAGTCACACTCTCTGCTGGGGACTCGGCTCAGAGGTTCAACATGAGAGACCAAGGTCTCTCCAGATCCAGAGCAGCCATTCCGGTACTCCTGTCCTCATGAGACGCTGAAGGCCCAGAGGGTCAGGCCCAGCCTCCGCTTGGGTGCCTCACCACCTGGGAATCCTCAGCCACAAAGCACATGAGGTATTGTGTCACTGTGGTCTTAAAGCTCCCTCACTCTGACCCCAGACAAAGGGTTCCAGAGCAGGGGATAGAAACAGAGTGTTAGGGACTGAAGTCCAGACCGGGGGCCCCACATGCTGCACCTCAGTGGTCCTGTGTGGTCACTCACTCAGAACAAACCCAACTCAGGCCAAAATGCACTTCAAGACCTAAGGCCAAGATCTTCCCCAGGCCAAGGTGTAATCTGTGGAGTCCCCAGAAAGGCCCCATGAGCTGGCAGAGTGGCAGTGAGCCTCCCCGCTCTCCTTCCTGCCCCCTCAGCAGGCCCCACCTCGGCCTTGCCCATCTTGGCAGCCAGCTGCAGCGGCGTGAGGCCATCATTGTTGCACATGGTCTCCAGCTCCCAGGTGCCACTCCTCAGCAGGATCATGTCATACATGCGCTTCACAAAGTCATTCTGCGTCTTGAAGTCCTCAGCCACTGTCACCAGCGCGTGTAGGATGTTATTTCCCCGCGAGTCCTGCGAGGTGATGTCTGTCTGCTCGTTCTCCATCAGCAACTGCACAATCTCAGGCTGGTTGGTACATGCTGCCAGGGCCAGCGGTGTCTCGCCTGGAGGGTGGTAGGGGGAACGCCAGAGCTCAGTTCCCTCTTAGACCAGAAGAGTGTTCCCCAACCCTAGGACTGAAGCCCATATCCTTAGCAGGACTGATCCGTCAGATTCCCTGTGACTTCTCCCCACACCCGCCCTGTATGGGGGAGGCTAAAGCTACATCACTTCTATAACCTAACTGGTCTCTCTTCTACCACTCTGGCCCTCTAACACTACCTTCAGCCTTCAGTACAGCAGCCAGATTGACCCTACTAACACATGAGACTCACCTCACCCAAAATAAAAGCTCAAGTTAGAACAAGAGCCCACAAGGCCCTACATGTTCTGACATCATCTTCTCTCTTACCCTCATAATTTCCCTCCAGGCACAACGACCTTCTTCCTTTTCCTAGAACATACCAGGCATTTTCCTACCTCAGGGCCTCTGCACAGGCCATCCGCTCTGCTGGTAGTGCTGTTTCTCAGTATCTACATTGTTCATTCCCTCACCTCCTCCAAATCTTTTGCACAAACGTCATCTTTTCAATTATTACCCTAACCACACTATTTAAAATTGGAATCCACCTCCTTCCTGCTCTGGAACTCCCAATTCCCCTTCCCCTGCCTTACTTTTTATTTTTTCAATAGCACTTAGCATTTTCTAACATATTTTATGGTGTTCTTATTTATTATGTTTATTGTTGATGGTTTTCCTCCAGTGTAGAATGTAAGTTCCATGAGGGTAGGGATCCTTGTTTTGTTCACTGATACATTTCCGACACCTAGAACACTGCCTGGTATATATAGTAAGCGATCAATAAATGCTTGTTAAAAAAAGAGAAGGCAGGTGACTCACACATGGTCACACAGCAAGCCTGGGATAGAACCAGGACCGGACAACAGGTCTCCTGCTGTTTTCTTTCCAATCTCCCTCCTGTTCCCTCTCTTCATCCCTCCTTACAGACATTTCCCTACACTGTCTCCAACGGGGTCTGACGCTGGGCAATGGACTGGACAAGACCCTGTCCTCCTGGCTGCTCAGACCCAGGCTGTCCTGATTGAAAAACCACTCAGAAGAGAAAATAGGCCAGAGGTTGTCAGTCAAGGGCTAGAGTGGGAAGACAGGTTGACAAAGTTGTGTGGGAAATTTTCTGGTGTGATGGAACTATTTATGTCCTGTCCTAATCGTGGTGGTGGTTACACAACTGTATGCATTTGTGGAGCTGAACAGAACGGTCCGTTAAAACTGTGAATTTCACTGTATCTAAAGTATATGTAATGATCTTTTCTTCACCCAGAGTGTCTTGACCCCAATTGCTTTTGGATTCTCTAACTTGTGAGTCAGGAAATTTTCCCCTCTTACTTTTGACTTCCTAGGTGCATTCCTGGAAGGCACTGGGCCCAGTGCCTGCATCAGCTCCTTACTACACTGGCAAATCATTCCCCTTCTGGGGACCTGTCTTTGCGCCTATAAAATAGGGCTTTGTCCCCCAAGTCTCGGTTCCCTACACAGGGCTGCTCAACTGGATGCCCAAGTGCCCTCTAAGATCACAGCTGACGCCCCCAGAATGCAGCTCTCCCATTCTCTCCCCACCTCTCCAGCCCCTCCCTCTCTGGTCCACCCTGGATGTCCGGTTCAGAAGGGTTTGCCCCTTGCAGCCTCCCCGGTCCCGGCTCTGTACTGCTGGGCCTTGGACATGTTGAGCAGGCAGGGATCAGCAGTGGGGGCTCCAGGCCCTGTGCCCCAGCGCCGGTTGGGGCAGCCCGTGCCGGGCGGGGGCGGTACCCACCAAAGTAGAAGCCCTCGTGCTGGTACTTGGGGTTGAAGAAGACCCCGCTGGCGTGGGCGTTGACATCGGCGCCAGCAGCGATGAGCAACGCAGTGACGTCTCCCTGCCGCCGCTCAATGGCGATGTTCAGTGCCGTCTGCCCTGCGGACAGGGTGGGGATGGGGGAGGGTCGCTCAGCGGCTGCGCCCTGGGTGACGCCTCCTCTGGGGCCTCCACACCCTCCACAGAGCCACAGCTAAACACTAGCTGCCTGTCTGGTCTGTGTCGCCCAGCTGTCAAGAATCCCAGCTTCATTCTTTGCTCCATTCATTCGCATGGACGCAAGGAATATTGATGGAGTGACTGCTCTGTGCTCCCGTGCCAGGCGCTGGGGACAGGGAAGTACATGGGGTGTGGTTTTGATTCTTTTCCTCGAGAAGCTCACGGTCTCACTGGGAATTAAGTGCTATGATACTGGGAGGGGCAAGGGCTGTGGTACCTAGAGCAGGAACTCAACATAGCCGGAGGGGGGCAGGGCCACAGTTCCCAGAAGTGACCTCTATGCTGAGACCGCTTAAGTTTATCAAGGCTGGGTGGGCTGGCTCAAGACTTCGTAGGCCAGGTTAAGAGGTTGGAACTTTATCCTGTGACTTTATCCTTATGACTGTGGGAAGTCATAAGGCATTGAAGCAGGCAAGTGACATGACCAGAGTTTGGGGTTTTCTACCTGTGTATTTTCCCATCACTCTGGGTGCAGAATTGGAGGATGCATTAGAATCAGCCCAGATTTGTGAGGAACTGTCGCTCCAGAGGAGAAAGAAATGCTGAGGCCCAAAGACCCTTAGGGGAAAGAGTCCTCAGCATGGCCTGAGGGAGTGATTGGGAGAGAAGGGGTGACTAGCCCAGGAGCTGGGAGAATGGTGCCCCAGGGACTGAGGAACACAACAGGGGAGCAGTAGCAGGAAGGGGCTGGAGGGACCTTAACCCTGTTGGTGGAGGCTGTGGAGCCTCCAGATGGAAGGGACTGGAAGGCTGGGGGTGGGGAAGGGTCTCGGAATGCCCCACCAGAAACAGCATTTTCCAGAGAGAGGCCACCGTGCCGTGCCATACACAAAATAAAGTCCTGGTGGATTAAAGAACTTGGCGTTTAAAAAAAATGGAAAGTTCATTTATAACTAACCTTTTGGCAGGGAAGACCTTCTTAAGTTATAAAATGCAGAAACAACCACAAAAGAAAAACAAACATGTTTGATAAGATAAAAACTAAAGCTTTCTGTATTTCAAAAGACATCTTAAAGAAGGTTAAAAGGCAACTGATAGGCTGGGGAAAATATCTGAGATATAGAGACAGTATGTTTTTAAAAGTTCCTGATATATTAGCCAGTAGACAAACAACCTGATAGAAAACTGAGAAAAAAATTATTAACAAGCACCTCACAGAGAAGAAAATTCACAAGGCCAATGAAGAAAGTGAAACCTGTTTGGAATCATTGATAATCAAGAAAATGAAAGTTAGAATCTAACAAGTTAACACTTTTCCACTTTTCACCAGCCAGATTGGCAAAAACCAAAACCAAACAAAAGGATAATTTCCAATATTAGTGAAGGGTAAGAAGATGAGTATTTGGGGGAGAATAAAGCAGTACTTTTTGGAGGCAAATTTGGCAATTATCATTATACATTTCCTTGAACCCAGAAAATCCAAATCAAAGTATTTTCCTAGAAATGTGCACACTGAGCACAGGGTCATAGACAAGAATGTGCACTGTGAGATATTGGTGAGGATGCGGAAAAAGGGGAACACTTTTGCACTGCTGGTGGGAATGCAAACTGGGGCAGCCACTCTGGAAAACAGTATGGAGGTTCCTCAAAAAATTATAAATAGAGCTAACCCTATGACCCAGCAATTGCATTACTAGGTATTTATCCAAAGGATACAAAAATGCTGATTCGAAGGGGCACATATATTCCAATATTTATAGCAGTGCTATCAACAATAGCCAAATTATG